AATTTATTAAACACAACACTAAAATTAAAAACCAAAGTTACAAAAAATAAACTGAATGAAATTATAACACTGGCAGAAAAACAACAAGGTTTTATGTCGGTAAGATCATGCACCGACGCTATATTTATAATAGGGCAAGTGCAAGAGGAATCATTAAAATAAAACAAACCAGCATTATCTATGTTTTGTGGACCTAAGAAGGCATTTGACCGGGTCAAATTAAAGGACGTTATCCACTTAATTTACGCAAGAGAAATACCTTTAAAATTAATCAAAAATATCTACCAAAACAACACAATAAAGTAAAAGTAGAAGAACTATGTGGCCCTACTGAAATTGGTAATGGGATAAGACAGGAAGATCCCTAACTCCTCCATTGTTCAACCTGATTATGGATGAAATAATAAACAAAGTAAGAACTAAAACAGGATACCAAAGGGGAGAAAAACAACTTAAAATAATCTGCTATGCAAACGATGCAATACTACTCTCTCATAGTGAAGATAATTTACAACTTATACTGGACTAATTTAATATAACCGTCAGAAAATTTAACATGTTAAAATAATTTCCTCAAAAAAGACCAAATACATAGTTACAACAGCAAATTTAATAAGATGTAAATTAGAGCTGAAAGGTCAGATAATAGAACAAATGAGAAACTGACTGGCCTGAATTGACAAAACAGTCATCAGACCAATAATTATGAAACAACAATCGTAAAATAGTTTCGAAACACAATTCAGATTTCTGCTTTATAATCTGAGCCTTCTAAAAATTGCAAGGCAAACAGACGTTGATAAAAGATGTTAAAAGAGACATGGGGAATCTAAAATTTGCATTCCACGACATGTCTTTTACAACTAAGCAGAAATCCTTAGCGAATTGTGCTTCTAGTACTCACACAGAGTAAATCCGAATAAAATAAAGAAAGGCAGCAAATATTTGATTTTACGCAAACAAATCCTACGTATCTCTTGATACGTATTTCGACCTCTAATAGGTCTCGTCAGAAGAGCTATTCATAGGAGTCCTCAACGTAAAAAATTTTATTAATTATATTTGGTTTCTGTATTTTTTAATTTTAAATAGTATTTTTAAAATTGAATAAAGTACATGTAATTTTAATAAACACGTGATAAATCTAAAGATGATTCAATAGATGATTCAAATAAACAAAAAGAGTAATACTTCGGTCAAACTTCACTTTCGCTTCAAAAAATAATATTTAAGAATTACGTAAAATCGCTGTTAGTATCTATTATGAATTGTCTCCTTTCTGCAACAGAAGTAGCGGGCTAGACGTTGGAACTGGCTATGTATGTGGGCTACGATTAAATAATCCTTAGTCGAAACAATTTTCAAAGTCGAACTGGTGGTAATAATGCTGGTTGAATTTAATGGCACTTTATTTTAAGTTGTACTTTAGTTGACTTAAAGACTTGTTTACGAAAGTTTTCAACTAACACTAACTCTTTATTCTTCGGTACGAGGACGGGTGGTGAAGTCTGAGAGAGGAGTCTGGAAGTAACTAATATTCGGTAGTAGCACCCGGACCGAAGTCTGAGAATGCCGCTTTGATTCAATCTTTTATACTGAAAGAAACGGCCATATTTCAACGGTTGTAACGAATTTTAACGTTTTTAACAAACTTTACATGTCCCAAACGGTAGCTTGTAAAAAGCCACCTATTTACGAAGAAAAATAAAACAATAAAACTAAAAGATTTATGATACTTTTATGAGTTCCGAGAACGAAATATATATATAATATATATATATATATATATATATATATATATATATATATATATATATATATATATGTATGTATATATACATATAATATACAATATTACACTAATTTATTTTACATTGACACTATTTTATATAATTTATTTCCGCGTTACAATTTAAACTCGATACAATTATTATTTTCCGACTAACTGTTTACAAATAAAAATCCTCTATATATATTAAACAATTGTTATTCTCGAGTTCACTCTGTTCACTAGAATTCGGCCGGCAACCCTCGCTGAATGATCTCGAACGCCATGGAACAAGTTTTAGCGTACGGGTCCAGTGGATATTGCCTACTAAAAAAATAAATATTTATAGTAAAACTATTAGCAATGTGTTCTACTAATTTTAAATGTATTTACAATTGTGAGTTTAATAAACTACGTTATGAACGTAGTGATCCTGCAGTGGGATCTGGTACTATATAGTCCATTTCCATCATATGGATAGCACATTATGTATGCAAATCCCTAAACTGTTGATACGGGTGACTCAATGAAAAATAGATATTTGTCAACAAGTTTACAGAAGTATATAGAAAATCAATTTTAAATTGAGTATGACCACCAGGTATAAAGGTTGAAGCAGAATAGAATACAATAGTTTTGAGAGTTACTAATCCCTAAATAAAGTTGCCAGTGTCGGAGTGATGGTGATTAACAGGTACTAATGAATTTGCAAGGAATGTAAGATGTTTATTTTATTGGTTATATATCAAATAATTTGTGGCCGTAACAGGGACCGATTTGTAAAAAAATGAATATTATTTGAATCAAATTCCATTTTAGATTCACTGCTTTCTTCAGAATCTAAGGAATCTTCAACTCCAATGTTAATTATTACCGGTTCCAGCATTGCATCAGTCATATTATCCAAATTCCACATTTTATTTTCTTCCTTGTGAGCATGACTAACAAGCATTTTTTCAATTTTCTGGAGTTACTTTTGATAAGGAATGTTCTAATAATTGTTGTAAGTCTTCTAATTTAAAAGTTTTGTTGTTGCGTCCGATTTCATCCTTAATTTGAGACCATATATTTTTTATCGGATTCAGATCACAGTGGTATGGGGGTGAACGTAAAATAATTACATCACGGTTTAATGCCATTTCATCAATTATATATTTTATTAGCTGCTTTATGTTGCCTTAAAATAGGTAATAATTCCTTTTTTGTCGAATTCTCCTTGTACTCAATTGCGTGTTTATTCAACCATTCGATTATCTCTCCTTTTTCCATGCCGTTGTTGACAATTTTTCTGCTAGTCTTGAATGGTAATTAGCATTATCCATGACTATGACAGAATTTTTTTGGATTAAATCCAACATTTGCTCAAAATATTCTTCAAAAACGTCAGCAGTCATTTCCTCGCCAAAACTTAATAATCCACCATTGACAAAACTGTATTCGTTTCCAATATGGATTATTATGAGTCTGCGTCCTTTTCCAACGGGAATATTGTTTATTCCAGTAGATACACCTTCGATGAATGCCTGACGGGAACTTTTTACATTTGTATCAACCCATAGATATGGTACAGTATGACCTTCATTTAGCCAAGTCTCGTCCAAATAAAAAATTATTTTCCCTTCTTCTCGGTACTTTTTAATAGTCTTAGATAATCTCGTCTCCAACATACAATGTAATCTTTTTCAATTAAACCGGATTTTCTTCTATTCTTTTGCCAACGAAATCCCATCTCTCTCAATAGTCCCAATAATTTCTTGTTACTTATGATTGGTAACTCTTTGTTTTCTCTAATTAATGTTTGGATTTTGTCCAATGTTGGAAATTCTTTGTTAAAAAAAATGACTGGACGCTGCGTCTTATCATGTTTTTATGTATTTCTTCAATTTCCAAGGGTTTACTCCCTCCACTCTTCTTGGGAGATGAAATAGTTCCTCCTTTTCTTTCTTTTAGGAATCTATAAATTGTTGCTTCTCCAACCCCTGTCATATTTGAACACATGTTAACGATTTCACGAACAATACTTAAAGGGCTTTGATGTACAAGTGCATCGTGTACATTTAATATTATATTTTTCTCTCTTAGACTGAAGGCACCTTTAAAACTACACTTAACCGGGATAAAACCTGTTGTCGACGTCATTTTTAAATGCAAATAACAAAATATCGACACCAAAAACGTAGGTAGGTAAGACATGAACAATGTACATCTACAAACTAAATGGAAGATGCAAACAATTTCTAATTTATATTATTGGCATATGCTGTTATGTGGCATAAAAACTACTTAAACTATCATTAGTGAGGCCTTATCAGTAATTCCAGGTAATCGTTCAAAAAAGGTATTCTTTTTGTGTCAGGCGATAACTTAGAAAAACAATAATCACCTTTAAATTACTGTTTACATTAATTTATTTCGTGAAACATTGAATTATCTCGTTAATCACCCGTGTATAATTAACAATGATGGTGTGGAATATATACCGACGTTTTTTACGAACAAAAAAGGTATAGTGAGATTAGTGGACACTTATTTTACAGAAATTTTTCTAAAAGATAATGAATTGTTGATCGCATCTTAAAATATTAATTTTTTTTATTTATTTCAAAACAAGTATAAGGTGACGCCTATGGTTTTTTGACCTGTTGAGGATTTGCATACATATTGTGCTAGGAATATGATGGAACAGGACTTTACATATTTCGAAGAATTACTAAGAATGAAATTATAGATAAAGTCTATGCATTCTTAATTGAAAAATCGTAAAAGCTATTTCGAAAATTTTTATTGTGCCGTCATTAAAAACGTAAATATGTATATTAAAGGATTTACGTTAAAATTTTTTTTAATAATTCACAAAAAAATATGAAAAATAATGCATTAAAATGCAAGTTGCATATTATCCGCCCTTTTTATATCTTGTAAACTCTTCTACATAAGAAAATTGTTACATTCCTTTCAACTGATACTGTTTATGATACGTTTTACAAGTGGCTTTCAGTTTTTCGCTGAAATTTTTTCGTTATGAAGTAAAACCCACCTAAAAATCTGGTTTGTGATACTTCAAAGGTTAAAATTTTAATAAAAAATCTCTATGTTTAAAAATTTAATACATAAATATAATATATTCGCAATTTTTTTATTTATATAGCAATTGTAGAGCAGATGTATAGCAGTAAAAACATCCATTTTTTGGCATCACAATCCATTAATAACTTCATTTTTTTTCTTGTAGATAGCTTCCAGACCTGGAGCACACAAGCTACGATGTCTCTTCAGGGTAGCCTTCGTTCCAGCTTCAGCAGCAGCCTTGGCACAAAAAGATCTTCACGCGTTAGACTATCTATACACGCAATGCTGTAATGACGTCATTCAAGAGCGTTTTGCCCCAGAGCTTCAATATGATACGGCCCTTAGGTTGGCCGCTCTGCATATCTATCAACATGCCCTAGCCCACAATGTGCAAGCTTCAAAACTGACAGTCAAAACGGTTGAGTAAGTAAATAAATATACGAACAAGTTAGAATACCAATATTATATTAGAACATTATATTTACTAGTGTATACTTCCTAATTTCATCTATGGTTTATAATTCTGAACAAATAATATTATAAATATTGATGAATTCTTAAGTATGAATGAAAAGATAAATCCTGCATTTAAAAGTCAAAGGACGACGAGAAGTAAATCTATTAGGGAAATGACAAAAGTGTGAAAGTAGTAAATAGTAAATATTCGACAAAATAATAAGGTATATGTTAAGGAGATAATTTATCGGAGAGGACCACAAAAAATCAAGTGGTGGATGTTGAAACATGATAAAAAAGGTTCATTCATGGCAAGAATAGAAGAAAAAATGTGTTGGAACATAAGATGCTCTTCCTAGAAGTGTGAAAAGCATTGGGAGAGACAAAAGAGATGGGGAAGAGAGAAAAGTTGGTTAATAGGTCTATTCAATAGAACTATGGAAGTCGACAAATTCCAGGCGACTAGAGAAGCGGTATATTAGTACTTGTTTACAAAAACAAGGAAAATGTACAACAATGTACAAACTACAGGGCTATAAAACTACTTAGTCACACCATGAAAATATGGGAGAGAGTAATTGATAGACGGATGCGGAAGAAACCGAAATATCCAATAATCAGTTGCGTTATGCGAAGCAGATTAACAACAGATGCCATTTTGAAGGCAATTCGTGGAAGAATACTGGAATAAGGAAATAAAAGCTCATATGGTATTCATTGATCTTGACAAAGCATATAATAGAATTCCTCGAGAGATTCTGTGGTGGGCACTCAGTAAGAAACCGGTTAATATGTAAAGATTGTGAAAGCCATGTATAAGGGGTAACAAATAGTAATAAGACAGGTGAAGGAGACAAGGCTCGGTGCTTAATCCTTATTTATTCTTATTAGTTCTGGATCAAATAACAGCGAAACTACAGGGTAACATTCCGTGGTGACTCATATATGCTAATAATGTAGTGTTAGTAGAAAATAATGACAGCGACTTAGAGCAAAAACTCGAACAGTGGCAACAAGCTCTTGAGAAAAAACTTTAAAACTTAGTATGAAAAAACAGAGCATTTGGAATGATGATTTAGAGATAAAGTTAGTACACATATAATGTTATCTCTAGATGGTGAAATGAGTGTGAATAGTAATAGTTTTAAGTATATAAGATTGGTGTTACCGAGTAATGAGATACATACAGAGATTTATGCAATAGAATTAGGATTTGATGGATGAAGTGGAAGGAAGCGAGTGGTGTGTTGTGTGACAGAAAAATTTCAATGAAGCTGAAGGAAAACTTCTATAAAACAGCCATAACAAGAGCTATAATGTACGGAAAGAAATGTTGGGCTGTTAAAATGAAAGAGAAACAACGAATGTGAAAAATGAGTATGCTAAGATGGTTGAGTGGAGTAACAAAAATTAGGAAAGAGTATACTAGGGTAAGTTTAGGGTGGCACCAATTATTGCCAAGATGAGAGAGCATAGGTTAAACGGGTTTACACACAGGAAGGTAAAAAAACACACAGAAGATTGAAAATCAGTCTACAAAACTATTATCAGACCAATAGTATGTTATGGATGCGAGACATAGGTGATGAAAGAAGACACAAAACGAAAGCTGTAAGTCTTCGAACGAAAAGTCCTAAAGAACCTATTAACGACCTAGTGAACCTATTAACGAAAACGGAGGATGGAGATCCAGATACAACCATGAACTCTACCCACTGTTCGATTAGAGACACTGAAAGAGGCACTGATCTCAGAATTGGTTAAAATTCAGAGTTCGATGGACTGGTCATGTAGTGAGGATGGCGACCAGAAGATTGACAAAATGAGTCCCAGATAGTAAAATGCAGGGCGCAAGACCAAAAGGAAGGCTAAGGAAAAGGTGGGAGGGCGAAGTGGCAAAGGACGAGCAAAATTTGCTAGACGTGAGAATCTGGAGAAGATCGTCGAGAAACCGGCCATATTGGGGGCATAGTTTGGCAAAGGCCAAGGCTCGATTTGGGCTGTAGCACCATCGGAGAGAGACCAACTTGAGACAAACCGTTCTTTCGTGCTCAACTTATTTATTTAAACACTATAAAGTGTTGGACGCATAACAAAAATAGCTCAATTGAGGAAGGCACTCTAGTAGCGAAACAGTTGTATTGATAGTTATTTATGATAAAATTTTGTGGATGTTTAAAAATCTGGGTAAAAGTTTTCAGGGTTTTTTTGCTTGAATATTTTTGGTGTTGCTTGTATACTGTTTCTGGGAGAGTTCATGTCGACATAATTAACTTCTTTTACAGCCGGTACTTTTTGCTCTACGCAAGACATGTAGTTAAAAACAACTTTTTTAAATCTTTTCTAATACACTCTTTATTCTATGTCTTCTATTATGTATTTGATTCCTACTACATTGTACTCATATAACATAAATTATTATTATTAAATTATTTAATTACTTTTATTTTTAAGGAGAGAATTTGGGTTGGAACGTTTTATTCCAGCCTCACTTCTAGAAAATATCAAAAGGAAGGAGATCCGAAAGTTGATCGGCCATTTTCTAAAACTCCACTCTAGCATGGCCGGCATGGGTAAACAACTGACAGCTCTTCAAGCCAAGCTTCACTACCTAGACATTGTGAGTCAATTACCCAGTTACGGTGCCAAATGCTTTTCAGCGGGTCCTAGAGGAGATACCCTAGAAAGGGTGATATTGGTTAGTCCGAAGTTTGGAATTAGCCAGATCACTGGTACGAGGAAATCCGTGGTAAGAATAATTTTAAATTAAAAGAAAAAGAACTTTAGTAGTAGAAAATGTATTAAAAATATATACATATACCGGTCTATAAGCATAAATTTCATGTCATAAACACTAGTACAAGCACAAAAGTTTGCAAAGCTAAGAAAAATATTTCTGCAATTAACATGGTTAAAAATTATTAATAATCTTATATACTAAAACGCTAAGCCCTTTTCTTGTCCACCACTTTACTCAAAAACCATATTAGATAATTAAAATATTTTTTCGGAATATTATTAGTATTACGTATGAGATTGTCAAGATATACTTTTGGTACAAAAATTCACTTCCGGTTTTGAGATGACCGGAAGTTAAAATTTACTTTAAGTTTTAGACCCCACAATGTATAATATATGGATCGAAAGGTCTCGTCGAGACGAATCTAAATATGTACTTCCGGTTGCGATCCGACACCGGAAGTGACCCGAAACGCGCATAAAACGTCAAGATAGAGCAAATCTGACACCGGATTCGTGATCAGCATGCAAAATTAACTGCTAAATGATATCCATGTCGACATTTGATGAACTAAAAATTGCATTCCGGTTTTGAGGTCGACTTCGGTTTCGTTTTTCTTAAAATGTAAAAAGTAAAAGTTTACATAACTCCCGGTGCCAAGCAAAAGTTTTCAGAAAATGGAGACATTGTAACAAAAAACATTGTTTTCGACGAAATATTTCGTGATATTTAATACACTTTTTACTTGCATTATTATTGATGAATGTTATGTATATTCTTGCTTATATTGTTTGTATTGATCTCTTAATTTTTCTCGCAAAATAAAAATTTCATTTAAAAAACTCGATGTCGAGTTGGTCCGCTAGTAAAGTCCTAAACTCCTAAATGATTTTTAATTGCTTCAAATCATTTCGTTCGTACACGTCTACAAGATGTCTCGAGCTAATTTTACATTGCCATTAAAATATTGTAATAAGCCAATTTGCTGATAATAAGAGTATTCGATTTAAATATTAAATTAAAAATTTATTAATATTTATAATTAACCAGAAATTTACCTATATTTATTAGGTATATTAAATTTATAATTTTATATTTGATGTATGATCACAATTTTAGTCTCCTTTGCCCAAAAATGTGTCGGACTTTATCAGAATTCACTTATACCTTTCAGTGCATCATTGTCAGTTAGATCTGGCAACTATTTACAAGGTCATAGCTCTTTAGAAAATACATTTCCTATACCTATATTATGTTTTACAACACTGTTTCATTATTCCTGACAATCAGCATAAAAACAATTAACAATAATATGTTCTTCAAAATGTTTCTGTAAGACAGATCTCATATCTGTAGGTATACAGATAAATAAGTAGAAAAATGTGTTTCGACATATACCGTAGTTATTGGTATGTATTTAAATTTTAACAAATTGGATTTTACACTAGTCATTGTTTGAAAACCATTTTTATTACATTCACAAAATTTAGTAAATGGTCTCCTCATTTTTCTATTGTAGTTAACGTTGTTATCAGTCGATAACAGAGGCCAACAAAAAAATTTTAGTTAGAAACTTTTTAACTTTAATAGCCGTATTTTATTGATTTCTGTGTGCTGAAACCAAATGTGATCTTAGTTTTTTTATATCGCCGATAGTTTTTTAGCAACCTGCTTTTTGTTATATAGTTTAAAATCCTGGTAAAAATGCTCACCTTGCTTCTTACTAATGTCTCTCAAATTTTCCGGGAACGACTGTTCAGAAAGTGAAATTTCAGACTCTTTAACATGTTAACTACAATAATACCAATATTCTGAGGAGTCTTTTGTATTTTCTAAAAATTTTGTAACGAGTTGCTGAACGATACCCATGCTTGTTTCTCGTTTATGGTCATTGTAATTTCAAAGTTAATGCCAAACATCATTTTTTGAATGTCGGATCCTACAAAGAGGTCTTCTGTAGCTTCTGAAAGCGCTAGGAACTTTCCACAGATATATTTGAAACAAGGGCTATCTTTAGGCAATGCCGTTACAAATTGTTTCATGAGGCCTGACTTTATATGTAGAGATGGTAGGATAATGTTTTTAGGATCTACAAGGTTTTTTCGGAGAACATTTTTCTCGCCGGGTTTTAAAGACGCCAGGCCAGTTCTTTCTGCACCAATGTCGATCCTTAGTTTTACTATCCCATTCACAAAAAAACATAAAAATGTCCTTGCTAACAAAGAAGATGCATGTTACTTTTAAATTGTCATATATCATACAACTATGAGCAGATCAACCAATTCTATTCAACACTAGTTCTAGGTTTTTATAGCTCTCTTTTATATCTACAGAATATGTTCAATGTCTACAGAAATATGTTTTAAAAGTGTTACTAACTCTTCTTTATCCTATACAAGTTATTTTACAATTTTCATTTGAACGATACAAAGGCTGTAAAATTTAACAAATTTAAGTGTAAATGTGAAGAACTTGTAGGTCACATAGCTTAATTATTGTCATATTTCGGTTTATCACCCTAAAAAACAACTAAAAAAAGTAACTGAGATGGTAATTCTAATTAAAAAAACTGGTATTGTAACAGGTTTTTAGTTACTACAGATTTGAATTTGTCAGACACTTTAAAAAATTTTTTCTGGTCTTTTTAATGTCCATTTTTATCTCTATGCTCATATCCCAATTGATATTAATATTTGAACAAAGATAATTGATGTTCTCGGTTTTTTTTTCGATACCATCACTATTTTTTTTTATTTTCGCGTACAACAGTTGCTTACTTTAACTTGTCCAGCTTACTCATAAGCACCACCATACCACTCACAATGAAGTGAAATGTGTCCTGTCCGCTAAGCTACCAGTTAGTCATGTTGTTTTTTAATTTTTTTTTTTTTTGAAATTTATTAATTATATCAAAATTTTGCATTGTTTATACTTGAAAAAACCTGTTTTTAAAAAAGGGAAATTTTAAATATTGAACTATTTTTATTAATTCTAATTTATTGTTCTTAATTTAATTTATCAAAGGTTATATTATAACACTCGCAAATTTATTAAAGTCTTTATTTGTACTAATTTATTTTACAATAATTTATTACGACCGTACATTTAAATACGCGAGCGCGAATGTATCTTCTTACTAACTGGCCACAATAAAAATCCTGTATTTATATCCAAACACCGTTATCTAGAAGGGTCTGGGGAATCCTTCCGATTATACCAGAAAGTAAATTGGCTGGGTCATCGTTCGACCGGTTTCTGGAAGCTTCGAACGACCGTTTCAGGTATATTTCTGCCAGCTGATTGAAGGGTCTCGTCGAATCTACAACATATGAGTAAATAAACAACATGTTTACAGGTTTTTTTTAATATGACTAATTTTTACGTAACAATATTATTAAGAGAAACATTTTACAGTATGGATCTTCCGTATATTCGTATATCTAAGGACTATTACAGAAATGAATATAAATATATTAGGTGTAAGCGAAACTTGGTGGCCTAACTCAAGATGCCTTTCAACAGAAACCGGTACCTTATATTACTCGGGAAATATTGACAACCAGCATAGACGTGGAGTAGCAATTATTGTCGATACACGGGTCAATAGAGGATTTTGTCCCAATATCAGAAAGAGTGATGCTATTACAAATAAGGACATCACACCAAAAACAAACTAAATTTGATCCAAACTATATGCGCCAACGATGGATGCAACAGAAGATTTTTACAAACAAATTGAAGATGCACTGAATATGACAATAAACAAGAAAAGCAGGGTAGTTATGGGCGATTTTAATGCAAAAGTCGACAAGAGAAGAGCTGGAACATTAATGGGAGATCAAGGACTAGGGGAACGTAACGATAGAGGAGATCGTCTAATACAATTCTGACAAGAACAAAGTCTATTAATCACAAACACGTTCTTTAAATTACCTATGAGACGGCTATACACATGGCGCTCACCAGCAGATAAACCGTAAAAAAAGTGGTAAGAAACCAAACCTATTATATAATGATTAAAGAGAGATATCGTAACACCATCAAATCAGTTAAAATATATCCAGGAGCAGATGTCACATCAGACTATAACCCACTAATCGCTAATGTCACGCTTAAGCTTAAACGTATTAGAAAATCCCAAAGACCTCCAAAAATTATTTGTTAGAAAACTAAAAGAAGTTGATATAAACAACAAACTTCAACAGAAAATATACGAAAACTTTGATAAATTAGATACTAACACCTACAAGATAAACCAACAATGGAAAACATTAAAAAACTGCCTCCTCTTTCCGTGCAAAGAGATATTAAAAGAACCGATATGACAGAGAGAGAACTGGATGACCGACGAAATACTCGGTACGATGGACCAAAGAAGACAAGCCAAGAACAAAGACAGTCACAATAACAAAATTATTAACAATGAATCAGAAAAATGATAGAGGGGCAAAACAAACTTACTATGAGGAAAAATTCAAAGAGTTAGAAGATCTTAAGAACAAATACGACCTATTATACTATTACGGTTGAATATACGAATATTCAACCTACATAAAAAGGTTAATGAAATGGCAGGACTGCAAAAAAAGAAACCACAACACAACTCTTTTAGATAAAAATGGAAATACTATGATCACGACTAACGAAAAACTGAAACGATGTAAAGAATTTATGGAAGAGCTCTTAGACGACGAAAAAGGAAACCTTCAAGACATATCTTTCGAGGACAGAGAAACAAATATAAAAGTTACAACGGAAGAAAGATTGTATGCACTAAAGAACACCAGAAACGGAAAAAGCCCGGGGCCAGATCAACTGCCTATTGATATCCTTAAAATAATAAAAAATGAGTACATGGATGTCCTCTTAAAGCTTTTTAATGAAATTTATCAGTTGGGTGACATACCCAATGAATGGTTGACCTCAACATTTATTTGTCTCCCAAAAAAGAAAAATGCTAGAGAATGCACCGACCACCGCACCACAAGCCTGATATCTCACAAACTTAAAATGTTTTTAAAGATCATCCATAAACGCATTTACCAAAAACTTGATATGGATATTAAAGAGACCTAATTAGATTCCGTAGAGGTGTAGGTACCCGTGAAGCTCTCTTTGCATTTAACGTACTAATCCAGTTATGCTTGAATGTGAACCAAGATATGTACGTCTGTTTCATAGATTACAACAAGGTCTTCGATAAAGTTCGCCACAAAGAGCTAATGGACGTCCTGAAAGCAAAACAATTACAATACAATGACCTTCTAATTATAACAAATTTATATTATGAAACAATTATAACAATGCTGAAAGCAATTATAACAAATCTATATTATAAACAGCAGGCACACATACGCATTAATGAACACACATCAGAAGAGTTCGAAATTAAAAGAGGAGTGCGACAGGGGTGTGTATTGTCACTACTACTATTCAATGCATACTCTGAAGAAATTATGAAAATAACTCTTGAGGGAGAAACAGCAGGAATAAAGGTCAATGAAACACCAATTAACAACATTAGATATGCGGACGATACTATCATAATAGCAGACAATCTCCAAGACCTCCAAGAGCCAATAAACAAGATAGTAGAATATGGAGAAGAATATGGATTATCAATAAACATCAAGAAAACTAAATTTATGAAGATATCAAAAACCCAAAATAATGATGAAGGCAATTAACGGTAAAACTTTGGAACAAGTAGAAAACTACAATTATCTTGGCACAGTAATTAATCACAACAACGATTCCTCCAAAGATATCAAAGTTCGAATAGAGAAAGCACGAACAAACTTTAGTAAAATGAGAAAAGTACTTTGTGCAAGAGAACTGAAATTAGACTTGAGAGTTAGGCTGGCAAGGTGTTATATTTTCTCGACTCTGTTTTACGGGATAGAAGCATGGACACTTAACGCGTCGACTACTAAAAAGTTGGAAGCATTTGAACTTTGGGTGGATAGAAGAATCCTGAAGATATCATGGATCGAGCATGTAACAAACAACGAAGTCATGAGAATAGTCAACAAAAGAATGGAAATATTGGAAACCATCAAGACACGGAAGCTGAATACCTGGTGCACGTTATGCGTAATGAAAGATACAACATACTTCAATTAATTATACAAAGGAAAATCCAGGACAAGAGAAGTCTAGGAAGGAGAAGAATCTCATGGTTACGTAAGTTGAGGGAATGGTATGGATGCACATTAATCGAACTATTCAGGGCGGCAGCATCTAAGCTCAGAATAGCCATGATGATTGACAATCTCCGTTGCGGAGATGGCACGTAAAGAAGAAGAAGAAGGACCATTGTCTTTACATTTAAGTTGATTTACGTTAGAAAATAATTTATTTCATATCGCATATTTTATAGATGAATTAATCTATCTTTTAGTTTCAGCCAATTCCTATCGCAAATATAGAAGATATGCGCCGCATAGAAGTACGAAGTGAAGACGAAGTTACTCGCACCGTTTTAGTTCACCTTCAGAACGAGAAAATAGTACCGATTTCCCTAGAAGAGCGCGATGCTTGCGAACTAGCCCTTGTTCTTTCGGGCTACTTTAGGCTATCAACCAGTCAAAACCTTTCCATAGACCAGGAGGAACTACCCCAAGTCGAGGATCTTGCTCCTCCATACTTGTCCCAACACAAAGTCGTTCCTGAAAAGTGGAGTTACATGGATCAAGCCTGTCTGAAATCTGCCTGCTTTGCTTCCATGCCTATTTATAAAAATATTAATAAGAAGACTAATGGTTTATACAACACTGTGGGCAGGCAAGCAAAACAACCGTTGATGATTGGTTACAGTTTGGACAGTAATATGAATAGATCGATGACAGATAGAAATAGGTTTTATAGTTTAGATGCTAAAGCAACTGAATTGGAGAACGAGGTGTACGAAAACGGTGTTTTGGAAGCCCGAAATGAAGAGGTAATATATATTTTAGGTAGTTTCTAAAAGTATTTTTAAAGTTATCATATAACACTATAAGGGCCGATTGTTCGATCGCTAATCAAAACTTGATTGTAATCAAATATTTAATTACAATCAAATAGGTCACATCAGCTTTCAAAATTATTAAAAATTGCTGAATATTATTATTTACTGAAATTAACATCAGAAAGAGATTAATTATGGTTTATTTTAAATTAAAACGTAAAATAATAAAATTGAATAAAATAAATCAGTCAACATAACCTAAAAATGTGACCTATTTGATTTTAATTAAATATTTTATTTCAATTAAGTATTGATTAACGTTCGAACAATCGGGCCTCAAGGTTACATATTTTGATTACTGGTGGTGGTGATACCACCACCAAGTGTTTGAGATATTAATCTAAAGTGTAAAATATAATATTCCTGCATGCAGTTATTAATTTTGAAAAATTTTGATCAGTGATCTGTGTATTGTTGTTAACTCGGAGTCATTTCGTGTTTCTTTTAATAAGATGGTATTGAGTTCAATAAGTTGATCGTTGACTGTAAACTGATACTTAAATACTCATCTTTCTCATGCTGAAGCTTTAAAAATTTTATCTAATCGGAAACAGCGTTACAAATCATCTCAATAATGACTGAAAAACATTCTAACAAGTTTAATAATAAATGTCTAAAAGTAATCCATAAATAAATTATTATATGTTATAAGAAAAAGCTGGTAAACCTCATAGACATCTTTGAAAGAAAGATACTTACTGAGACAAATATGAGACCCTATAAATGAGAGGCAAATCAGGTATCATTAAATATATAATATATATAAAGAACCACCTTTATCTTTAGTTTCCCCGCCTACAGCATCTTCAAAGGAAGGCCAAGTTTTTAGGATGAAAGAAACCCAGCTTCCATTAAACCTGTTGAATGCAAAAATGGAGGGGAAGAGACCTATTGGAAGACCCAGAAAGTGATGGGAGGATGATAAGGACGTCAGAAATCTCCTTGGCAGTCGACCGTGGAGAAGAAGAAGGAATAGTTGTTTATCTGCTAAACTTATTCTTTGATTCATTAGATCTTGTAAAACTTTAGTTGTAAGTTTTAGAGTAATATTTACCAATATAGTTTCCCCCTTCTCCTTTTTTGAATATGGAATTAGTTCGCTCGTTATTTATTCTTCCGACATTTTTATATTTTTAGTATTTATAATTTTGTTAATTAATGTTGTTAATTGTTTACTTATTGCTGCTTCACAATATTTAAGTAATTCGTTTGATATTCCGTCTTTACATGCAGCTTTTCTAATCCTCAGGTTTTCAAGTATTTTTTTAACTTCCTCTGTAATTTTTGGTGTTTCCGGATCTAGTGTCATTTGTTCTTCCTCAGTATAGATCATTTGAGTTTCTATGTGTTTTGGTTCTATTAGTTCATTTACCTCCGTTCTTTGACCTCTTTGAAAGCGCCATATTTTCTTTTGCATAAAAATCATGTTGCATTTCTTTCGAAAAACTTTCACAGTTATCATTTTTTATTCTTCTTACAAGTGCATGGGATTTGTTTCGTATTGTCTTGTAATTATTGTATACCCTACGCATTCATTTTTATACGTAATAGAGCTGTTTAGCTTTTTGTGGTATCTCCATCATATTAATAGCTGTTATTATCAACGGTTTTTTGTTTTACAATAATAGTTAGTGATAATTATCCTCACATTAGAGTTTAGGTCATTTCATACCTTGTTAAGTTAATATTTTCGTTAACAGTAAGGGACTTAAGTTTAGTATTAATTAACGTAATTTGTTAGTTATTCGTTCGAAAATATAAATATATCAATCCTATAACTTTCCTTTGTTCCTTAAATCTTAGGATTATGATCAGATGAAATATCTGCTCCAGTGTGAGTAGTTAACATTCAAACGCAGTTTCTAAAACGTTTGTTGATTAATATGTAGTGAATTTGGTTTCGTATCGAATTATGTTTTTATCAACCAGTGGTTTCCATGTGCAATAGATGTCTCTGTGACAATTTGTACTAAGTATTAGCAAAGAATATAGACGCTTCTATCTCTAAGCGTCTTCTAAGCGTCTATATTCTTTGCTAGTCTATATTCTTTGGTATTAGTTACAATCATATCGTATTCCAAATCAAAATCAAAAAGCATTTCCCCATGAACATTTCCTATTTTCGCGTTGAAGTCTCCTAAAATAAAATGTTATTGATTTTTTTAAAGTCATATACTATTTATCTATCCATAAAACACCTATAAATCTTTCCTATCTCGTTTTATGTGTACACTTGCAAGATATTTCATTTTAGTTGGCTGTGGTTATCTTACATAAGTAAAATTCTGTCTAAATAGGGACATAGTTTAAAACATATTTTCGATATTTAGTGGCTATTAATATTCCAACACTTGTGCATTTTTCACCATTGCGTGTATTTATATTTAATTTTAATTTTATTGCAGATATTACGAAGGGTCCAAGAAATGCAACAATTAGTAGAATATTCAGAGCAGTACCTTACCGAACAAGAAAATCTAGAAAGACTGAACTCATTAGCAGAATGGCAAGAAACCAGTGTAGATATAGAAAGTGATAACGACGAACCTGGAAAGTTAAAGCACAGTGATTCTCTTCTGCTTCTCAACAAGGGACATAGTGGAGTAGAGAGGCGGCATTCATTTACAAGTGCTGCTATTGAATTGCTAAGGCAAGAAACTACCTGTTCCGAAAGTGATAATGATTCTTTGTATACACCTAGCAGTTCTCCAAAGCACAAGTTTTTGCCAAATAATGTGGACAACAAAATGAATAGGTAAGGTTATAGAAGAGGTTTACGAATTTCAAAATTGTCAATTTAATGATACACATAAAATTTATGACGATTCAATTAAAAAAAAAAACGGGTGTGACAGTCCAGTGGGACTGCCGGTAGAAGTTATACTTCTATACACGCGTTCACCATTACAAATATATATGGGAGTCAATCTGCACAATCATTACATATTTAACGCTATAGGTAAGAGAGAGCAGAAAAAGAAAAAGAATTAGGTATATAGGTATATGGTGCATCTTTTGCTGTATATAAACATTTGACCTATAATAGGAGTGTGGTAAATGAAGGATTGTATCAATATTTTAATGAAAAAATATATATTTTTATTTTCATATCTGCATAAAAGAAGTTGAATGCAAAAAAATTTTTTTACACATACTCTGCAGTAAAATTCATTGTTTGGTTTGTTATTCATATAAAACTTACAATACAATACACTGCAACATAATTCCATATAATAATACAATTCAAATTAAAATGCAATATTAATAAGTATTTAAAACTGCCAATATACATAACTTACTTTACGAAGATATAAATCAAAAACCAACAATTCGGAATATGGTGTAAATTTTTATTTTATTTTAAAATTTAACATTTTTGCGTATATTACATATATGGGTTAACATTAATGTGAGGTTTTTAAATATTTTAAAAATAAAAAAGAAAATTTATATTGGGATTCGAACTCACGTACACCAGCGTATGAACCAAACACGTAAAAGATTTGCCAATTACACATGAAACTAAGGGATTTCAAAATTGACAGTTGTCTGTCATACAGTGATTATTTTGAAATACAAAAGCCTAAAATAATTATAAACATTTAATAAATAATACAAAACATATCACATAAATAATAATATTAATACATATTACATATAATATTATATTTATATATATATATATATATATATATATATATATATATACAATATTATATATATAATATAAAAAAGGAACCTTTTTATTCTCGAGAGAGCAAGAGAGAGAGAATATATCTTCTGTCTCTGTCTTATAAATAAATAAATAAATACAATAAATGGAAAGCAATAACTGTATGTTTTAATCTCAAAAAATACAAAAACATTTGTACATTATTTTTAGGGTGAGTTTTGGTTTACGAAGTCCCGATGGCCATCCAAATAAAGAACAAGACCTTCAAGCTTACCTCCAATACCTTCGAGCTGCTAAGAAAAATGACGAGAATGTCTCCAGCGACGATGTGGAATCTATTAACGATATCTACATTTTTGATCCAGATATCATTGATTTGACGATGATTCCTCCCCCCAGTACTCCAGATGAACTGGATTGTGCCTTACCAATGCCCATTAACCTTCCGCCTCGCTCATTTGCGGATTCTATAGACAAATTAAATAAATTAGGTAAATATACATATTATAATTTATGAAAACTTCAAAGTGATTATGGTTTATTATTCATTATGTCTAACTATGTAACCATTTTTATTAGATTTATACTTTTACAGAGCTTGCTTACATTGGGTACTAACTATTTAAATACAACTTGTTTTTATATACATGAGGACAAGTAAAATAGCCAGTTTTATGTTTTAGGTATTTTAGATGAACACCAAGACCTAGAAGATTTCCTAGCTAGTGTAACCGTTCCCCCTCCGACACAAAAGGTAACCCCTTCAGTGGAACTTACTCCGGAAGAAATAATGGCTTACATAATTCCACCACCACCAATGCAGAGCAGTACTGAAAACTTGACAATACTACCACCATCAGAAACCTCTCCCAACCAAAAAGACAGAAACCAAACCACAACCAAATCGAAAGTAATAGAATACGCTACTTTCGATAGAAAGGGGCCTTTCTCGTGCTGTGCGAAATCTAAGACTGATAAAAATTTGAAAGTAGATGAAAATATACAACCTTTACCACGCCGAAGTTCCGATGAGAAACCTCCGGAAAGACCTCCCAAATCCATGACACCGGAAAGACAAAGGTCGCATTCCCTCACAACAAATATTCTAAGAAACAATTCCGACTTCCCACCACCAAAGTTACCTCCAAGAGGCGAGAATAATCACCAAGCTCCACCTCACTTGTTCTTACCCCCGAAAAAACCTCCGTTACCTCCGGTACCTTCTCTTGAAGTTCTCCGACAGAAGAAGAACGCGCAACATATAAAGACTGGGCTGGAAACCCGCACTGCTAGTATCGGGTCACCTTTGTTTCAACGTAGTCGAAACGTTTCAAATGATTTGGAAGTTGGTGGACCGGGCGTTGCTGAAGGAAAGTCGTGTCTTAAACATGCTACGGCTGTCAGTACCCCCACGTCACCTCATATGGGTAAAGACTATACGAGTATGGTGACTGCTCCTGTACTAGCACAACAGTGTGATTTTTAACCAAATTTTGCATATGAAGTAGATCTAATAACTTGAATAGATATGTATATGACATTTAGCAGTGGTATTTATTATTCTTCTCCTTCTCCTTCTTATATTGGATCTTAGACCTCCCCTTGTCTGCTCTTTTGGTTGTAGCCGTATTTGTGATGTTGACAATATTTTAAAGAATCTTTCTGGTGGTCTAGTGTTCGTTGGTTTTATATTTGTTCCAATTAGAGCTAGTGTCTCAATTGCCATTCGTGTAATATGCTGGTTCCATTACCGTTTTCTTTCTCTTCCCCATAGTACAGTATCCTATATTTTACTTAGAAATCTCTTATTTGTTTTTTTGGGATTCTGACTCTTAATGTTTTCACAGAAATTGATCTCAAAACCCTCATTTCTGACTTTTTAAATATTCTTTTATTTGCTCCCACATATTCCCTTATACGTTATTTTCTATCTAAGATCATATATTTATTCTTCCAGATGATATCTTCTAGACATCCTATAAGCTGCTTTATTTATTGCTTTTCTTACACTCCCTTCTTTTGTCACTACTGACGACTTTGGGACATTCTGTGACTGATGGACGTATTTCTGTGTCTTACTTTCACAAAAAAAGACTTCGGTTTAGATGTATTCCTATTTCATATCTTAGCCACTGTTTATTGTTTGTGTCATTCGCGGTAGGTTATCTTTGTTATCTTAGATAAGGAATACGTCGTCTGCATATCAAAGGGGTTTTATTTTTGTTTCCTGTCCACTTTTTATCTACCTTTCAATGATATTTATTATCTTTTCTGGGAATTATCCATAATTTTAGTTAGATCAATCAGTCAGAATTCTAATGAGATCAGAGTGTTATGTTCATTTTGTTGTTAATGTGTTTAATTATCTTTATCATTTTGTTGGGCTGTTTTTTTTTTTTTAGTGCACACATCTAATCTAGTGTAGTCAAGGGCTTCCGTCAGGTCCACAAAGCACGTATTGCAGGTTTATTGTATGCCAAAGCTTTTTCGCCAATTTGTCTAGATATGAATATACATAGCATATATAGTTGATATATTTTGTCGAAAGTATTGTTGTTCTTTATTGGCAAATATCCTTTATTCACTAATTGTTTCTTGTATCTTTGAACTGCTGGTATGTTATTTGATTCTTATATATGTGTATATATATTTTTCTCGTTAACACGAATTTCTGGAAAGCAATCCCTTTTCCGCCGCATGAGCTGGCAACCCATGGAAATTTAGCAACCCCATAAAGGATAATTTCTCGTAGTTTTATTTTTTCCTTGTTTTACCTTTCCTACCGTTTTGATATTTGATTTTCCTCTGAGCTATCTCAGTATTATCGGGTTTTCAGGACGTTACATAAATTTCTGCATGTATATGCATAGCCTTCAAGTTTTTCTTCTACATTTCTTCTATTTTTCATCTTCTTCTTTTATTGTTTTTATTTCCATATTTTCTATGACCAGCAAATCGTCAGACCTAACCCCGACCTAACATATTCTAACCAAATCTTCTTTTTTTTCTCTAATCAAGATTTCTATTACTGGTATGTTCATCTTTCGCATCGACTATTAATATTGTGTTTTGTAACTCAATTTCATATTTTTATTCTCTATCACTTAAAGACTCCTGTTAAATGTCAAACAATTTTACAAAGTTTTTACCATGTTTTATAAAAACATTTCACTTATATTTGAATAATTTATTGCTTCAGTTTATATCCAAGAAAGGACAAAATTGTTCAGGTATGCTATGACATTTACATACATTAGGCACTAGTAAAACGCTTAAGTTAGTCTTTTCACTAGTAAGAAACAAAGAAGTCAAGGCTACCTTTTAAACACACTTATTAGTGTCTAGTAAAAACATATATTATAAAAGACACTTATTCACGCTAGGCGTAAATCCAAGGATGTCTTGAAAATACGTAGCCTACTCTAGAAGCAAACAGAATTTGAAATTCAAAGTATATTAACATTCTACATATTCTCCTTCTAATTATATACATTTATTACAACAAACCAACAACAAACCCCAACAAACACACTAGATCTTAAAAAAAATGTATCAAACTTGACAAACTAGGCCTACACAGTTTCTGTCATTTGTTAGTTAGAAGAAAATTTACGACTGTATTTTGACAAAAAAGTTCAATTGATATCGGATGGAGTCAGCTCTGTTAAACAAGGAGGGGGGTGTTCATGCCACACGAAATGTAAAATCAACCGACGATATTTTTCAAAAACACTACTTAAGAAGTTTGCACCTTTTTCAAACCGAGCACATATTGACTGCAATATTCAATTGGGTCAATATTCGGACATTTGGGAATCCATTTTGCAGAAAATCCAATCCAATTTTAACTAACGCATGCAAAGGGCATTGATCGCCTAGGGTACTAATCATATCTTCGTAATTTTGCGTTTAATGTCTGTTTTTAGGAGACAGATACGGCCTATTCGAGTACTTTCAGCTTACTTGCGAATCAGCCGTCCGCCCTACTTCAGGTTACACACCGGTCGAAATTAAAGATTACGGCGGCAGACATTGGAAGATGGTATCACAATGTAGATTGAACTTACAAGAGCAACCAAGACTCTGTATCACTACGCGATCTTCTGGCCTAGAAGCAAACCTGTCACATGATTCTCGTGTAGACAAGAAGCTCTTTTTCGGCATGCTGGATTAGAAGCCTGGGGAACCCAAGTAATGCACTAGACACTCTGTCCACTCAAGAGTTCGTATCATTATAAATGTATAACTAAGTTCACCTCGGGTGGTGAAGTCCATGGTCTCCTGATGCAAAGCAACCCGGCCGGCCCCGATTTGGGTTAAGGGTTTTCCTTAACATAGAGGCAGTATGGCTATCCTGTTCTGGTAGAACCAATGCCCCGACGAGTCTGTCTCCAGATGAGTGTATCATACATATACTTGATACTGACTTGATAGTAGAATTTTTTAATTTTCGTAGTTTCTGTTGATATCCATTTTTTTAAATTATATCATAAAGATTTTTTGACGGAAAATCTTGCATTGACACTTCTTAAAAGTTATTCTACGTTGCTATAGTAACGCAGTATTTTTTTTATCCACTAATCTGGTGTAGGCTAAGTAGATATCAATACATCCATGTAGTTACCCACCCGCTACATAGATTTGAAAATGGTGCATGTTATGGAAGACAGTTAGACTTATAGCTTTTAAGTAAATAAGAAATATATATAGAATGTTATGAAATATATTTAAGAGAAACCTATATTGCTTAAATATACATCAAACAGGGTCTCAATAAATAGCAGCGCTAGATTTTGTATTGTATACTACAAAAATATTAGAACAGATAATATTTTTGAGCAGCTGTATACAAACAAACTATAATCCTATAAAACCCAAATGGTAGTGAAATAATATTAGATTAGATTGTTAGCCAATATGAGCTAATTTTATGCTAACCCATTCCATCAGCACTATGATGCCAATGCAAGGTTCTGAAACTTCTTTCTTAAACATGTCTAATTTAAATATATTTATATGAAATTAAGCAATAATTATTGGTTGTAATAAAAATCACATTTTTAACTAAGTAATGTCTGACGTTTTGATTTCCACTCCGGAAATCGTATATAAAAAATTCTGGGAAATGTATAACCGAAGTTTTTGTTATTGATTATGTCATTTCAAAATTTACATTCTGGAACTCGATCTTGTAGGCAAATATGACAACAATAACATTTATAAAGAGTGATGAGACAACCAGAAGAGGATAGGAAACAAGTACAACATCACAACAACACTGAAAACAACCAACACACTAAGGTCCATGGCATCCAAAACCAAAAACACAAGCAAGATAAAAAAACTGCTTCTATAAAATACCCTGTGAAATTAACAATTTCTACGTGGGAGAAACCGTAAGACCACTAAGTGTCAGGATAAACGAGCATAAAACATACTTACATCACGAACAGATAGGTACATATAAATATGATGCCAACATTTCTTGCATTAGCAGTTTCTTTCTGAAAGCTTAATGCCTGTTTCTCTAACTTTTGGAAGAAACGAACAGCTTCCACTTACCCCTGTATTATCCGTTTTTATTTTTCTCCCCTTTTGAAATCTAGCAGATGACTTATTTTCAGATATATTTAATAAGACTTGTCAGTATACTAACTAACATGATGTTCATATTTGTTTTAAAGTTTCAAATCTGATGCACTCTGGAACTCTAGTCTGGTCTAGTGGATGGGTACCTCAAGTTTGGAGTCACTTGGTACTCATCGATTATACTTTTAATTCAGAATATAATAAATTGTGACTTAACCCCATATAAATATAATATTTAACTTGGACATGTTATAAGAAAACAGTTTCAGAACTTTCAGATAACATATTTTTGTATAAAAAATATTTTACCCTCTATATTGGCGGAAACATGTCGAATCACATTTAACCACCTAAAAGATGATTCGACAAAATAGTACAGATTATGTCTCCATCTTTACACCATTTATGAATTCGGCTTTTAGTTTTACATCTTAAAATATATAGAGTCAGTAACTAAGTATATTTTTTATTAGATTATAGACTATTTAAGGTTATGTTGTGCTTATATAGGAGTAGGTATTTTTAGTTTCTTAGCTAACAATATTTTAGCTTATTCAAGTGTACGATTTTTCTTAAATTTAATACCCTTCTTTGGTTAGACGTCCTTGGATTTAATTTTAGTTAATGGACTGACGTTTTTGAACTATAGTAAACTATAATATACCTAAGATTTATATTCGGGCTATGTCTTGATTACAGGTCTTGAGAACAGGTACTTGTTGATCTTGAAAACGCTTTCAATAATGAAATATTGGACTGTACATCACTTACTACCTACCGCAAAATATATTCGAAACAGATTGAGTTAATAACAAATTACTAAAAAAGGTAGGATTAAGTAATCAGATTACTCATTATCATCATCATCATTTGCTCCACAGCCCATGGTGGGTCTTGGCTTACTCAAGGATAAGTCTCCATTCTCTCCTATTCTTCGCCTTGACTTTCCAGTTTTGTACTCCCAACATTCCCAAGTCTTTCTCCACCTGATCCTTAAATCCTGATCTGGGTCTGCCTCTCATTCTCACTCCATCTATTCTTTGATTATAATATGTTTTGGCGGCTCCATCTCATTCATTCTCTCTATGTGACCTAACCACTGCAGCCGGTTTATTTTGATAGACCTAATATTATCAGGTTTGTCATACAGGCGCTAAAGTTCGAAATTATAGCGTCTGTGCCATAATCCGTCCTCCTGTACTCCTCCATAGATATGCCGGAGGATTTTACGCTCAAAGCATCTTTAACGTTCTTTATTGCTCTCTGTCATCGTCCATGTTTTCGACGCGTATGTGAGAAGAGTTCTGTATATCACTAGTTTCGTTCTTTTTTTAACTATAATGTTGTTAAAATTTTTTTTTAATCCATAATAGGGTCTATTTGCCAGATATATCCGTCTGTTAATTTCTGCACTTACTGCATTACTCTGATTAATTTGTGAGCCTAGGTATATAAACTCTCTTACTCCTCCGAAAGTATATGTTCCGATCGTTAGATCTTCGGGTTGTGCTGCTTGTATATAATTTGATACTTTCATATACTTCGTCTTACTAGTGTTAACTTCTAGTCCTATTCTTTTTGTTGCTGCTTCAAGCGCACTGTATGATTCGACCACGTTCGCCTTTCTTCTTGCAATAATGTCGATGTCATCGGCGCACGCTAGTAATTGTACGCTGCGATTAATAATATTTCCTATGGTAGTTATTCCAGATTATCTTATCGCTTAGGTACAATATACAATAGGTGCAGATAGGTACAATTATACCTACATTCCAGTCTTCTGGCAACTTTATTTGCTTCCAGATCAGTTCTACCAGTCTACATAGACAGTATGTCAGGTTTTTTTTCTCAGGATATTTTTTCTCATTTCAGGAATGGTATCTGCCCCAGGAGCTTTGTTTTCATTCAATTTTTGTATAGCTTGGATTACTTCTACCTCTGTTGGGATGTTATCTTTCTCTCTTTCGTCGTCATTGTCCTCGAGTTGGATTTCTGATTCGTGGAGCCCTGTCTCACCTCTTATATTTAACCTTTCCTCGAAGTTTTCTGTCAACCTTTCTAGTATCTGGTCCTGATCACCAATGATCTCCCCTGTTCTATTTCTAACGATTGTTAATCTTAGTTTGAATTCTTTCCTGTTCTGGTTAATCCTCTTGTAGAACTTTCGCGTTGTGCTTATAGCTCTCTAGTTCTTTTAGTTTGCTCTATATATGCTCTTTCTTCTTCTTTTTTAAGTATTCGTTTTTCTTATCGTCTCAGCTGCCTATGCTCTTCCTCTGTTTGTCTCGTTCTTCGCCCTTGGAGTCTTCTATATGCCTGATTTTTTCTTTGCGTTGCTTGTGCGCATTCCTCATCGTACCAGTCTGACCTTAATGTCTGCCTCCAATAGTTGTCAATATCTTCAACTATATCATCCGTGCAGCCTTCCAGCTTGCTTTCGAGACTTTCCTCTTTAACTCCTTTTTCTTTCTTTGCATTGGAGATTCTAGCTCTTAATTTAGCTTGTAGTAGGTAATGGTCCGTGTCTATATTCGCCTCGCGTCTTGCACGTACGTGTATCACGTCGCTGAAGTGTCTTGCGTCAACCGCCACATGGTCGTTTTGTTTTACTGTATTCCCATCGGGACTTCTCCATGTTCCCTTATGTATATCTTTGTTCCTAAAGCATGTGTTGGCAATCACCATGTTCATTGAGGAGGCTAAGTGTATTAGTCGAGTTCCGTTGTTGTTTGACTCTTCATGTAAACTGTGAATTCCAATGGTTGGCATCTATTCCCTCTTCTTACCTATCTTTGCATTAAAATCTCCTATTAAGACCTTTACGTCATTTCTAGGGCAATGCTGTATGCTATTTTCCAGCTGTTCATAAAATTGTTCTTTTTCTTCATCCGGCTTCTCCACAGTTGGTGCATGGGCATTTATTATTGAATATTTAAAGAATTTACCTCTGATTCTTAGTGTGCATAATCTTTCGTGAGGGTTGGAAGTCTATTATAAGGTGCTTTACTCTTTTATTGACTATGAATCCCGTTCATAGTTTGTGTTCCGTTAGATGGCAGCTATAATATATCATATAATTCTTTTTCTCTAATATTTTATTTCCCAACCATCTCATTTTCTGAATTAATTATATCGCTGCAATTATATCGCTCTTATATACTTCTACGCTATTAATGAGAGACTGCAACGCTCCTGTCCTGTTTAGAGATCTTACAGTCCACGAGAATAATCCTAAATCATTGTCCTTTTTTGCGCCGAGTCGTCGTCTAGATTTCAGTCCGAAAACTTCACCTTGAATTCTCGTAACATGCTGTTTTTTACGTTGTCGGGATGTTAATCCTACGCCCAACCCTCAACCTGGAAAACCAATTAGATTACTACCAAAGTGTTTTACCCAATCAGGTAAAAAATAGGAAAAATTGTAAAATCCATAAAAATAAATTGTTATTAAAAATTATAGAGGACAACAACTATTGATCATTTTCTTGACATTTCAGGTCCATCCTAAAACATATACGTGTTATCTCAAATGTCTATTGTGTTCATATACAGAACAAACGATAACCTATTGTTATAATGTGCTGCTATATGGCGTAGAGGGCTGGACACTCAAAACGAGGGATATAAACAGATTGGAAGCTTTCGAAATGTGGCTTTATCGCCGTATCCTAAAAATACCATGGACAGCGAAAATCACAAATATAGATGTCCTTAAAAGAATAAACCAAGAACGCCAACTTTTCGAAACCATCAAGAAAAGGAAAACGGCGTATCTAGGTCACATCATGCGAAATGAAAAATACCAGTTCCTCCAACTTATAATCGAGGGTAAAATTGAAGGCAAGAGAGGAATGGGACGCAAGAAAATGTCCTGGCTCCGAAACATAAGGCAATGGACAGGGATTAACGACATACAATCTCTGATACATATTGCAAGAAATAGAGAGTTAATGGAAAATGTGATCGCTAACATCCATTAGTGGATTTGCATCTGAAGAAGAAGAAGATTGTTATAATAGGGTATTGTATAACTACATTTAAAATAAACTATAATATGCCAATATATAAATAAACTATTAAAATGCCAAGACCAAAAAATCTTACTTAAAATCTTAAACTTGTCAGTCAAATGTTCAAAAACCTTTTGTAATCTTTACTGTAACCGCTTTAAAAATAATTATTAATAACATTTTGACACGCCAAAGATGGGTTTAAATAACAAACCTCTATCAATTACCACAGCTTTCTAAATATATATTGTCTTTTTTAGGACGTAGCGCTCACTTAAAACTAGTTCCTGTGCCATTAGATTCCCCCGATCACCCTAAATACCAAAATTCTTTGGATTCCCTCTCCCGTTCACCAAACCATAGTCCAGCTCCTGATCTATCTCTCGTTAATGACCGCCTTAGGTCAAGTTTTAAGAGCACAGAACATCAGAACGGGGGCTGTCCCAAGCTCAATGGCTGCACCTCTAGTCGAGAAAATCTGCTTCAGAAAACAGATATCGCCATGGCGAATCTCTTGGTCAGGCTAGACCAAGTTGCTGCGCAGTGTACTGCGGCACAAGTGCATGGGGGCGGGAGATTGATAAGCGAAGAGAAGTTTCAGGTATGCGAAAACTTATGAAAGAATTTATACTTTCTATTCAAGTTTAATAAAAAAAATAATGAAAATAAAAGTTATAGGTTCTTTAAATTTAAGTTAATTTTACCAATTTTATTACACCTACAAATCTTCTTAACAAAAAATTTATTTCAGGTAGCTAAAGAAGAGCTCACCTCACAGTCTTTGCAGCTCGTCACATCCAGCAAAATGCTAGTTATAGCAATGTCGGATCCCAGTCTTCCGGACTTGCCAGAAAACCTTGCAATATGCCTCACCATACTACGCAGACTCACAGAATTGTGCCAAGATATGACGAATCACACTACTGCACCGCTGCAAACTAGAAACCTTATTTTAAAAGTCCATGATGTCACTGCAGCTTTCCGAACGCTTTTAAATTCGAATATCGACAGAAGCTCGCAGAGAGCCATAGAAGATCATCTGGCGTTACAAGCTGAAGCTTTAGCCAACGTTTTGGCAACTCTGTTAAGAAGTCTAAGGGTGTTCTCGCCTTAAGTTCTGTAGCTTATTATTAGTTAAATGTTTTATGAATTTTAAAGTGTTTTGTTTATAATTTAGGTTACTGGTTGTTTTAATAAGCACAAGTTGTTCATTTTGACCGTATCATCTTAAAACATAAATGCATAAATCTGCATAAATGACAACTTTAATTTAATTTTTTTTTAAATCCATGTTTTAATGTAGGTAACAAATAACTTGGAAATACACTATAAAATTTAACGGAAGAACGAATGCAAATATTAAAATTTTTGTAGTAGCTATTTCTTCTAAATTAATTTTTAAACATTTATCCCTATTTTATTAGTAATTTATTTTGACAGCAGTTGGCAGAACGGTCGCTTGAGAACGCGAATAGCCATCGATATAATATACTAAGGATGGAACATATTGATATTTCTACATTTATCTAATAAACGACGGAACTGACGTCACATTACTAGCTACAATGTCCGACGTGAATTTGACAGGTGATTAATTATTTATCGATATTTTAATGTTAAATATGGTTAAACAGATAACATGTGTTAAGTCAATAATTTAATGTATTTTTTGGTTAAATCAATATATATATATATATATATATATATATATATATATATATATATATATATATATAACCGGTATTTAGGCGGCACACACCCTTCCGGGGTAGGGATTGATGGAGGAGTATCACCGAGCCGCAAGCCCTTATCTGTCGCCGTACTGCTCCACCATAGGCCGATCAGATACCAGCATAATCTAGACTAAGCCGCAGATTCATTTAGAATTTTAAACTGCTGCGTTAGCCTTCTAGATTCACTGAGGTTGGCAATATTTTTACAGTCAGTTTCCGAAACATACAAAATAAAAATTCCTACCGCTCCTTATTGGTAACAAAAGTAAGCTTACTGTTGTAGACTTCTTTCATTGCAAAAAGTTAAATAACTATGAATATAGAAATTATATATTACCATATCACCATATTAACGTATCAATCTATGTTAAAAATAAAAATTTAAACAATTGTTTTAATTGGTGCAGATTTTATTCACAACTGCATGTGAGTATTTTTAACATTTTTATCGTACAAAATTAATATAACCATAAAAACAATAACGTGCCATGAAAAGCTATGTCGTGCAACAGCCAATTCTATAAAAAAATTATTAGTTTTGTTAAATTTACCTACAATAAAGCTTTATTAGGTGGCTGAATTATATATATATATATATATATATATATATATATATATATATATATATATATATATATATATATATATAGTACTTGTGACTCGTTTGGAAAAAATATAAAACTGTTAAACTGATAAAAGGGGCTATTTGTTGACTATTTTTTACTCCAGCTTTCAATTGTGATTACAATTTTTATCAAGAGCTTCTAAAAAATACAAAATATCTTACAAAGTTGAACTAGAAATATTTGGTGAGTTAACAAAAATTTTTTTGTTTCTAGTTCAACTTTGTAAGATATTTTGTATTTTTTAGAAGCTCTTGATAAAAATTGTAATCACAATTGAAAGCTCGAGTAAAAAATAGTCAACAAATAGCTTTTATTGACTCCAACCCATCAAAAACGGTTATATATATATATATACATATATATATATATATATATATATATATATATATATATATATATATATATATATATATATATATATATATAAATGGAAAAGGAACGCGAGTGAATAATAAAACTAAAAAGTAATGTATGGCATGTCTCGCAAAACAGAAAACCAGTTTTTCAGCCACAATGTTTAACATAAATTTAAATATAAGAGTTTGAATGAAATTCTTCTGTTTGTTTGTTTTTAGACGGGCTAATGCGAGTGATTGTTATTGCTATATCAGTTTCTCTCATTGGATTGTCTCTTACAAGCGGGCTATCATCCAAAGCTCATTAACATTTAAATAAACCGCTCAATTATTTGAGGTGGTACCTCTGACCTTGCTGTTCTGTTGAAATAATTTTAACCTCAAGGTTGGCTGTCTTTTCGTGGTTCTGTGTCAGTCTGTTCAATCTAACGCCATTTTCCTGGTAGCAGGTGCAAGGCTTAGACCGGTAACTTCATTCATTTACACTTATTTTTTTTTAAATTATATTAACATCTTTTAATAATGCTACCAAAAGTTAAAATTAAAGCTTAATAATTATCCATTGTTGGAAGTTAATCGTTGATTTTCTTAGTTCTTTGCATCATTTAAGTTATAATTTAATATATTTTTTATACTTCGGACCACATGGTCACTCACTGTGCTAATTTTTTAATAAGTCACTAAATGTTGTTAGTAAATTAAATGTTAATACATTTCTACTTTATAATGTCCATTTATTCAAGTTTAATTCATAAGCTTGTTAACATCTTTGACTGCTACATGTCTTTTTAAGGTAACACCTGTCACATCTTTTCCATGATTGTGTGGTTCTTATATTATACTTTTCAGAATGAACTGATGATGCTTTCAGAATACGAAAGCGAAACGTCTTCAAAATAGATAGAGTGGCACATCAACTTTGTCTTTCATTTCTCCACCTACAAATTGACCGATATAAGAGCCCACCACTCTGTTGAGTGATCCTTTTATATATTGGAATTTGACGGTCGTACTCCTTTTTCCGATATATATATATATATATATATATATATATATATATATATATATATATATATATATATGAACGTATGTATTTGTAACCATGTAGGTATATACAAGGATTTTTAAATGATATAGTAAAAATGAACATCCTGTGTAAATTTTATTAAAGTTACGGTGATGGGAACATATAATGCAAGTTACTGAACATATAGTATGTAATAATAATAATTTTTATTGTTAATGTAGTTTGTAGATACCTCATCGAGCGATGGTTGCCAAGGGTGAACACCTTGACGGACATGACTGACTTTTGTTTGATTAATGTTGTCCGTTAACATGTTGTATATAAAATACTGTGTAGGTGTATTTATGCCACAAGTTATTTAAGTGTTATAGTAACCTGAGATCTTGCTTAAATGTGTTAAAGAATATTTGCAGGATTTTAAAATATTAATTTATTATCTCGTCGTAAAAATGAAAACACCTAATTTTTAAGGTAGAAATACATTCTTCTACTGTAATTTGAGTATATCTTTTGTAAGTGACACAGTCTTCTAGAACTTTGACAAAATTGCTCTCTGGGCATTTCTTTTCAGGCCACGTTTAGCTTTTGATTGTCACCTTACCCGAAAGTGTCTGTAGATCCTCCAAACTATTAGTCAATAAAATAGTAGTTCCGACTGTAAATTTTACGTTGTTAATTAGCTCATGCCACCAAGATCAAGATTAACCAAAGTCTAAAGTGTCAAAATTTATATACCTCCGTCCTCTTCATGTACCATGTCCTTTCAGAACGTTTTTTACCATCATAGCTATCATAATTTTATTCACTGCCACCCTACGTAAGATGCTTGTATCAATACCATACCAATCCCACAAATTCTTCAACCATGATACTATCAGGTATTGTGTGCATATCTTCTTGAGTAGAAGCTAGGAGTACTATGTCGTCCGCATACGTAAAGGTTGAAAAGCATCCCCGTCGTACTCCTCTTTTAATATTAAGAACCTGTGATTCCAAACCGTCTATTAAAACTGGCGTTTGATTCAATTACAAAGTTGAAATTATGCGAACATCTCTGCCATCCAAGCCAAGGTCTCTTAGAGCTTCGATCCATATAATTAATATCAATATAACAATACGATGAAATGCCTTTGGAAAGTCAATAAAACAATACATGTCTACATATATATGATGCTATCTTTGAGCAAGTACGTTCATCCCAAACAATGCCTCTCTGTTCCAAACCCGTTACGGAAACCAATCTGTGTCACTTAGGTATTCCTCGCATAATATAGATACGGCCAAGTATTACTTTTAGAAAAATTTTCAGTAGATGGCTTAACAAACTGTTGGTTCTATAATCATCACAGGTTTTTACTGTTGTCTCTTAGGTAAAGCTATAAACACTTAATTGGACCAACCATTAGGCAGGTGTCCGCTGCTATAAATGGTAAAAAAAGCCGAAGTTATAGTCTCTAAAACATTGCCAGTATTTATAAGTATATTTCACTTGGAATTTCAACAGAACATGTCGCTTTGCCATTTGTTGATGATTGTATGGCTTCTACTACCTCAGAGCGTATTATTAGGGATCCATCGTAGTTAGTTACATCCGGAGGTAAACTAATCTTATCGTATTCGAATTGGTTCGTAATGTAATTTTCCTATTCTTTAAGTTTGTCCTCTACTCCAAATATTGCTTAACCATGTTTTTGTCATCCAAGCCTTCTTTTTAAGTTTTTGAGCTGCGTTTTAAATTCTTTTGACAGATTTCCTTTACTGTTATTTCCAAACTAAATTTTCGTTTAGTTGTCTTTGAACCATTTTCTTAACTTTCTCATCTTGTAGTTGGGTAAATCAATATTTTTGCGAGATTTCTTTTTGATCACCTGGATATCTTTTAGCTGATTTGAAGCAGTTTTTAAATTATTTTTTTTTAATAGAATGAAGTTGATTTGGTTACTAATAATTTTATTTTTTGATTCTGCATTTGACTTCTAGGTTTAAAGTCTTCTCGGCGGTAATTGGAAGTAAGTATTCGATATAATGAAATCCTGTTTTTGGCAGAACTAGACGAGTTAATCTCCACGTTCATTTGTGTTTCTCAGCCCATAATCCCCCACATTATTGAAACAACGTCCTTTACCAACTTTGACGTTAAAATTTCCGAGGACTATGGTATTTTCTGCTGCTTTCACAAGATCTACAGCATTAGTAAGATCTTTTAAAACGCTTCCCAATTATCTTCATCACTGGATGATGTTGGGACATAGACCTGAATTACGTTGATAATGAACGGATTTGAACTAGGATTACTTTGTTAGATACAGTGATACAATCTACTACTGGTTGAGCTAAGTGTTTTTCGACTACGATTGCAACTCCATTATAGA